AAAAAAAAAAAAAAAATGATGACTGTTTAACTTTTTACATTTTGAGCAAGCAGATAAACTTTGGGTCCATCAAAGCAGAAAAGTCATAATCCATGAGAAAAACCCCTCCCAGGACTGATAGTTAAAGGAAGCCAGTGAATAGTAAACTTGTATGTTACTTGCTTGTAACCACCTGGATCCACCTGAGTGGAAATGGGGGAAGTGCAGCAAAGAAAAAACGAACTGAATTTAGTACTCTTTAACTTAAGACCAGGATGCTGAAGAAGCAGTCTGCAGAGATTGTGCTGTGGGGCACTATCCTCTTTGTGGCCTGGAATGCCCTGCTCCTTCTCTTCTTCTGGACACACCCAGCACCTGGCAAGCCTCCTTCAGACAGTTCTCTTGATGACGACCCCGCTAGCCTCACCCATGAAGTGATCCGCCTGGCCCAGAACGCTGAAGTGGAGTTGGAACATCAGCGGGGATTGTTGCAGCAGGTTAAGGAGCACCATGCTCAGTGGAAGCAGCGGTTGAGAGTGCCCACTGCGGACCCCCCTGCCCCACCGCATGTGCCTGTGCCCCATCATTGTCAACCAGAACTGTGAGCATGAGGAGACAACCCAGGTCATTACCTCCTATAGCAGCACCATCACGCACATCCAGCAACCTGACCTGAGCCACGTTGCTGTGCCGCCCAACTATAAAATTACGCAGCATTACTGCTGAACTCTGGACCAGATCTTCCACAGGTTCAAGTTCTCAGCAGCTGTGATCATCAAAGACGACCTGGAAGTAGCACCAGATTTCTTTGAGTACTCTCAAACCACCTCAAGTTCATCAAGTTAAACCAGCACTTTGTGCACTTCACCCAGTTGGACCTGTCCTACCTGAGCAAAGAAAGCCCAGGAGCTGGAAATAAGAAGAAGAGCTAACTGGTCTGAAGTACAATGAATTGTGAACCTACAAGCATTGAAATAGTCCCTGAGAACTGAAGATGTGACAGAAGGTGCTAGCTAATCTGAAGTGAAAAGAAGAATGTAACTCCCAAACTTAGCAACTAGTACCCATGACCTAGCTGGGATAACTAGAAGAAGATGATTAACACAGATGGTGTTAAGTTACTGCAATTTAATAGCTTGTGCTAAGCTGGACTTTGCTTGTTTATGGATCCACATACCTGAAGTTTCTAAGCAGAACAGAAGATTCTCCAGAGAGAAAGGACCACACTTCCTCAGAGTACTGGTCTGATAGAGACAAGCAAATTAGAAATTAGCTATTTAAAATGGGGAGAGATAAAAGCATGAAGTAGCTGGCTTACACATTTCCATAAATGTGGTTATTCTTAAACTGATAGATAAAAGGGATGTGAATTTTGAAAGTAATAGCTAGAAAAACCAAGGAGTAGCCTGCAGTATAGTAAATTACTTAGTGTAACTTTGCCACCCATAAGTCTTTATAAACTCCAAAGTGAAATTTTCTATAAGCAACTGAAAAACTCCTGATTGCTAAAAATTGTCCACCTAGAAACAATTTCTGTTAAGAATAGCACAAAACAATGTTCTGAGAAGTACCTACTCTCTCAGGTGCTTAGAGTTCTGATACTGTAATTAACTAGTTTAACCACCCTTCTGAGCTCAAAAAGAAGCCTCCTAAAAGCAGAACTCTCTCTACTACTGAAAGAGACACATGCCCCCGAAAGAAAATGTGCCCAAAACCAAAGATAGCATAAAAA